TCTGACTGTGGGGGCCAGCGCCCTCCCAGAGCACACAGGCCCCCCGCCCCCGCCAGGCCCTTCCTCACATGGGGCCTTACTTAGTCCCACACGGATCGTATTCCCAGGTTCCCCTTGGGGAAACCAAGGCTCAGATTCGCGAAGCCTCCTGCCCAAGGTCGCAGAGAAGACAGTGAGTTGGGGCCACTTATGTCACCTGTGAGAGCGCCACCCTCCCTCCTCCCGTGACTCCAGGACGATCCAAAGTTGACGTGAAGGGCAGGATCCGGACAGCAACTGTCTAGTAATGCCAACCCCAGCTACACTGGGTCTCCCCACAGCCCCCAGAGGTGCGCGTTATTATCGCATCTCCGCAGAGAGGGAGTGGAGGCCCAGTGGGAAGTGACTTCCTCAAGGCCCCACACTGAGGTGGGGAGTCCAGGCCAGCCCTCCCCCCGACCCCACACTGCCCCCAGGTTTACTCCTACGCACATCTAACATTGGAGAGTCAATGTCCACTGACTCACCCTCCCTGGTGGCCCACAGCTCCAGCCCCTCGCGCTCCTTCTGCACTCACCGCAGGGGAGATGTGTGGGCCCCTCTTTGGCTCCACCTCCAGCCAGAAGCAGCATCTCCGATGCCTGGACTCCGTGGCTACCCCTTTGCCACCAGACTCCCTGCCCAAGCCATTGTGTTAGTTGGTCTGAAGGAGGGACCTTTCCCGGAGCTGAGCCTCTGTCCCTACCACGCCTTCTGGTGTCTTGTGGGGACCTTCTCTCCTGGTTCTGGTGCCGGAGCCCAAAACACACAGAGGCATGGAAATGTAAGGCCTGCTCTGCTGGGAAGAGGTTTAGTGAATCCCAGGGAAAAGGGGTGCAGTAGGGCCTGGGCTCCTTATACCCACCAGCTCCCACCTGGGCCTCAAACCAACCACAAAGCAGGCAGTTGTGAACCCATTGTACAGATGCGCACTCAGAGGCTCAGCTGGCGGAAGAGACTGGCGCAGGATCAGCCAGCAGCAAAATGACCGCATGGGGTTCAAGCTATACCCTTTCCAGAAAGGGTTAAAGAGGGGAAACCCACAGTGCTGAGCAATTTCTTTTTTTTAATTTTCAAAAGTTTTCTTTTTTAAAAATGTAGGTAGGGGGAGGTATAATGAATGCTCTTGGTAAAAAAAAAATGAGGCAGATCAAATTGGTATGCTGTGAAAGGTCAGCAGCTGTAACATTTTATGATTCAATGCAAAAAATATGCTCAGCTCCTCAGCTGAATAAGTAGTATAAACAAAACAATTTTCTTTCTTTTTTTTTTTTAAAGATACAGGGTGGGTGTTGCCATTTTCTGAGGACTTCTTTGCTGCCCTCGGCCAATACTCATCTGAAGATAGAAAAGGCCATAAAAAAAAAAGCAGTCAGCCCAGAATCTTTCTAGAACTTCGGCAGACGGTGTGAGCATGTGCACACACAAGCTGAGCGAGGCGAATGCAGAAGTGGCCGCTGTGATACAATCACAGATCAACGACATAGGGTGCCGTGAAGTCCCCCCTCCCCGGAGGAGAAGGGAAGGAACCAAACCGCAGAATGTTCCTGACTCGGCACCCCGACCCGGTGGCGCAATGTTTATGTTTGGGTACCTAGCAAGTCGGTGCCGCCGGGTGCGACTCCACAGCGGGGGGGGGGGGGGGGGG